ACAGACATGCTTGAGGCCCCTTCCACCATCCTCTAAAATCACTTCTACTCTGCCTCCTTCTCATCAGATGTTACTACATATCTTTTCTAAGAACAAAATTATTTCACAGAAATAGTAATCTACCTTTACTGTATCACCCTTTAATGCTGCTAGTCACTTGGCCTGCTGTAATCAGGCATTCTCTTTCTACTTGCTTGTTGAAAATGCTTCCTCTCCATACTCACCCATCCCATTAAACCCCTTTTCTACAAATTACCAGTCCTATGATCTACCAAATTATAGTGATCAGTCCTCAAATGCAGATCTCCTGATGGCTTCTCTACTCAGCAGCTTCCAGATAAATACAGTTTAATATAGCAAATTTGGGACATTGTAAATGCAACTCCTAAAGGTTTTAAGTGAAAACAGGCATCTCTTATTTCTAGACTGAGAACTTTTTGTAGTTGTGAGTTGTACTTGTTTTGTTAGTTTTTTTTATATTGGAAGCATAATACTGTGACAACACTGAACACAAATGTTGGCACACATCTCTGATTTCTTTAGGATAAACTTCTAGAAATGAATTACTACATTAAACAGTATTTTAAATTAGTAGCTTAACTTATAAATATCAAAGAAACTCCTTGTCAATACAACATTCTATAAATGCATATGATTATAATATCATTGTTTTTTCTCTTTTTTTATATCCCCATTTTTGGGGGGTGTAATTTTCATTTGGAGAGCACACTTTTAATGAAAGAGGAGCTTTTCTGAGGATATTGTATTAATATTGGCAATCATCAGTTAAGTGGCAAGGTGTCTTTCCTTTTTGCTGATTCTTTTTCTGAGAGGGGTGGAGTGTGGTGCATGGAAGAGGAAGTACATTTGGCTAGGCAATGGACTTGTGCTCCTGGGCAAGAATCAGCAAATGTGGAGGGCTGGGCAGGAGGAGGAATGCTCCATGCCAGCCTCATGCATCAGTCATGGAATCTGCCCAACGGCAAGGGAACAGCAGCCCACCCAGAACTCTGGACGGGGGCTGCCCTCACCAGCATGCCACCTCGCAGTTTCCATTGACTGGGTCATGTATTAACACTTGGTTAATTAGTCACAATATTCAGGATCTAAGGATGGGAGCCAGGGGCATGCCCGTTCCCATGGAGAGATTGCTGCTCGGAGGAGAGAGGTTCAGGGGTCTGCCCTGCAGCTGGCTGGCTCCGGGATGATTGTCAGGGGACTGGAGTGACTCAGCCATAGAAGAGCAGGCAGTAATTTCACTGCTGCTTTTTATCTGTTCCCCTCTCCATTGAATGCCGCTGGCTGCTAGCAGAGGCCTGAATGGGAAGGCGGAAGAGAACAAATGGGGTAGATGGGAAAGCACTTTAAATAATTTCCTTCGTTGAATTCAGATGAACCTCTTCTAAAGAACCTTGGTGACTGGCCAGGCCCAGCTGGCAGACTGGTTTTAATTGAAACACAAAAGCTTTTGGGAACCTTGGGACCAGAAATACAGGTACACCCCATCTCTACCTCTCTCTTGTCATTGTGGACTCTTTGATCCATTTAGTCTTTTTCTTCAGAGTGGATTTGAGGGCAAGGCAATGTATATTAGTAAATGCCAGAGCCACCATCTTCTCCGTTAACTCTCAAAACAGTGGTTAAATATTGCCGCATTTACACCAAAGCCATTATTTGGAAGATTTATCTATTCAAAGAATAAGTTTTTAAAATACAACAGTGGCCCAGCAGGTGTTGCTCAGTCATTGAGCATCGACCTATGAACCAGGAGGTTATGGTTCAATTCCTGGTCAGGGCACATGCCTGGGTTTCAGGCTTGATCCCCAGTGGGGGGCATGCGGGAGGCAGCCAATCAATGATTCTCTCTCATCCTTGATGTTTCTATCTCCCTCTCTCCCTCCCCCTTCCTCTCTGAAATCAATAAAAATATGTTTTTAAAAATAAAAATGCAACAGTGATCTAACTTTTCCTCTAAAGATTCCTAATGCATTCCTTTTTTTCTCTGTTGACAAAAACAACCTTTTTACAAATCTAGCCAGAGAACCAGAAGAAAATTTTTAAAGTTATCCAGTTTGACTCTCAATAGTAGCTTGGGCCCCTCACTCTCAATAGAAGCTTGGGCCCCTCATGTCCAGCTGCCCATTGAATAAAGAGCTCTTCCTCCCCAATTTGGACAGTTCTGTTTCATCATCCTATACCTAAGCCACAATTTGTATAGGTAGACTTTCCATTTTTATTGTTGTAGGCACAGAGTACGAACTTGCTTTTATCTACATTGCATTTCTTAACACATTGTGGACTTCTATTGTGTTCTTGCTGAATCTTCCCATTGGTGTTTGAATATTCTCAGTAAGTTTGCTTGTCTGTTATTTCATTCATCAAATATTTATGTAACAATACTATGTGCCAAACAATGCACCAAGAAACAAATATGAACACAGTTCCTGCTTTCTGTAAGCTCAGTTTGATGGAAAGGTAGAATCATAAACATATAACTTCAAAATAACACAGTGCATTGCATAAATAGCATAGAAATCCACAAAAACTCAAAAGAGGAGTGACTTACCCAGAAAAGAGGAGTTGGGGTGATCATTTAATATTTTCTAAAACAGATGCCTTCTGAGCCCTATCTTAGAAAATGAGAAGAAATGGACCAGTCAAGGGGAAGTTGGGAAGTTTCTAGTAGAGGAAACGGCATGAGTAAAGGCCCAGAGAGAAATTATAGTATGGATTATGCAAGAAAGAGCCAGCAGTTCAGTGTTCCTATGGGTGAATGTGTCAAACTAGGAATAAGGAAAAGAGAGTAAGAGCTAGATTTTGATTATCTTTGTCAAATGACAGTTTTGAGTGCTCTCTTCCAAAATATTGATATTGTTAGGAGAAAGCATTTGAGTATCTCCCAATCTCTGCTTGCCTCCTTTCTCTACCCCCATAAATCAAGAAATTATTATCCCTGAGGTGCCAACTCTAGTAAGACCAATGTACTCTAGTCAATGTTCTTGAAGCTAGACCCAAATTACATCGAAGATACTTACCTTTCTCTCCAAAATCCCTAGGTCTTAGATAAACTGCCTTATAAATCACCTAAATGCTGTCTTGGTGGCTATACACATGACAATGTGGTTGATCACCAGATGCCAGATTATCTGCCTTTTCTGCTCTGTATTGAATTTCATGAAGGCAAAGTCATCCTGTCTTAATCTCCATCTTTAGCTTCAAGACAGTCACATAGGAGAAATCATCCAGGGTCAGTAGGTACGAAAAACCAAAAATGGATTTATGTACATTCTGCTCTGGAGAATCTCATGATAAAGACTCATCCATTCTGACTCTCCTTCCTTTCTTTGTTCCAGCCTTACTGTCTGTTCCTTGGGCCTGGCCTCCCCTTTCTCATCTCAGGGTTTTACATGTGTTCCTCCATCTGCCTGGAACATTCTCTCCTTCTCCCCAGCTCTCACACTGACCCTCTTAAAAGTAACTAACTGCTATTCACCTTCAGGAAAAGTCTCTATGCTTGGTTCTCCTGTTACCCAGTCCTGTGCTCTGTACTTCCCTTTTATGTGCCAGGCATAGAAGTGGTGTTTAATAAAGATTAAACTCATGATTACATGACTGCTACCAATAATATCTCTGTTCAGTGAACATAGGAATTTTTCAAAGAACAAACAAAATTTGATAGATGTTAGAAGTATAAAGATATAGGATTTTCATTACTGTGGTTGCATTATTAATTTTAACCTCTCAATGTAAATGTACAATTCTGAACACAACCCTCTGGAATTTAGAGTTTTATTAATTCAATCCATAAAAATTCCTAGACATTACCTAGCTGTTTGCTGTGGTATACTGTCAATTTATGGCTGACCTTATCTTAACATTGAACTTTTTGACTAATTGAATGCCCTAATTAACTTTTGTGTATTAACTACTTAGTTCTTAGTCCTTATCTCTTTTTACCCAAGAGCAGAACTTAATCAAGTGATCATAAATTTAGTAAGTTCTCTTTGTCATAAGAGTATATAGAGAAATTAAATATCCAGTGACAGGGGACTATTTAAATAAATGGTGGTATATGACCTTGATGAAATATTATTTAGTCATTTAAAATGAGTAATTATAAAAATAATAATAAAATAAAATGGGTAATTATAAAGACTACCTAGCAGTATGGAAACAATTTAGAATATAATGCAATTAGGGGGAAAATCTGAATGCAATATGGAAATGCAATATAGCAGTGGAGATAGATATTAAGAAATATGTCAATAAGAAATATATTAAGTAAGAAGATTTGTGAATTTCGGGGAGACTTTAATTGTCTTACATACTAATTTCAAAAGGTTATATGTACACTAGAGATGAAAGCTTTATTAGAATATAAACTGTTCAAATTTACCTGCTGCAGAATTTTTTATAACTACTGCAAATAAAAACCTGCTTATTACTGAAAGGTATCTTACAATTATTATGACTATAGAAGGGACTCTGACTTCAGAAGCCCAAATTTCTTGATACACGGGAACATAGTTATTTGATGGATAAACATGGTCAGAACAACAATACTGACAATAATAAAATGTAAATACCACAATTTCACTATGCTACCAAATCAAATATTTTCATATAACTCATTTTCTTCCATTCTTTGTTCTTTGTAATTTATAATTAGTACAATTGGCTGTAATAATCTTTGTACTTTCCATATTCCTCAATTTGTATGCTTTTATTTTCTACTTTAAAACGATCATTTTAATTGCTCTATAAAGGAAGCATTTCTTAAAAGCAAAAATATGTGGCGCTTGAATGCTTGCGGTGCAGGGACAAACTTGAGTATTTTTCCTGACCTTCCTTTGTTTGCTGACAGTGCACTTTATAGCTTTGCACACAAGACTGTTATCACCTGATTTCCATTTAAGTGGTAAGATGATAACACAGAGTGCAAGGGGAGCTAGGTTTAGGTGACAGCTACATCATTTAATATCTACTTATTGTTTCTACAGGGGAATTCTGGCCTGGGATTCAGTATTGCTGGAGGGACAGATAATCCCCATATTGGAGATGACCCTGGCATATTTATTACGAAGATTATACCAGGAGGTGCTGCAGCAGAGGATGGCAGACTCAGGTAAAGAACTGAAATGTTAGAATCATTTGGAAAGTAAATCTGCCATATCAGTGAGATACATTTGTCCCTTTGGAGAATAGTAATTCTATAAAAGTTCTGGACATCAAAGAGAAAGCTGTCAAAGTAAGCTTTCTGTAACGACTTTGCAGATCTCTTATTATTTGTTGAATTTCAAGTAGTATTTAATTTGTTGATGGCTACCACATTCAATAGTGGTCCAGGCACTCTGACAAGGGGATGCAGATATGTCTTTTGTTCCATGGGGCCTTCAGTGTGGTTGGACAGAAGAATCCTATGAGCTGATGAGAAAATAATAAAATGTATAGAAAAATAATATATTTAAGTAATATTAGCAAATAATGCAATGTTGTAGACACTGTACATTTTTAGATTCCAAAGCTATTTATAAGGTCTTTGGTAGGAGTTTGGACAGCATCTATAAAACTGTTCCAAAGGAAGATTCCCTTCTGTGTCTTAAAAAATAATTAAGCCTAGCCAATGTGGCTCAGTGGTTGAGTGTCAACCTATGAACCAGGAGGTCAGAGTTAATTCCTGGTCAGCGCACATGCCCCTGTTGCTGGCGCCATCCCCAGGAGGAGGTATGCAAAAGGCAGTCAATAAATGATTCTCTCTCTCATCATTGATGTTTCTATCTCTTTCCCTCTTATATATATATATATATGTAAATAATAAAGATTTCGCTATCCCCACAAATGTGGATGAGAACAGAGGGAGAAAGAGCAAGTTATCCCAACAAAGAGTGAAACAAAGTTGGCTTGGATGATGCCCACAAGGTGAGATTAAGTAGTTGGATGGAGTGGAGCCAGATACTGATCAGATGAGAGTAGTAGCTGCTTGAGTCAGGGCCCCTCTCTTTGAAGAATTGAAGATTATTTGGAGAATTATGAGTTACCCATATGGGGCAATTAGTAAATAAAATAAAATTCTATCTGAGGGCAAAACACTAGCAAAATGAGATTGTGGATCAGAACAATTAGGAGACATTTCCTTGGGAAGAAAATAGTGTCCTCATGTTATTTTAGCGCCTCTACCAGATTGTAAATCCTCTCAGACCAGGCAGTTATATATAAAAGTGGATCAATATATCAATAAATTCTTGCTGAAAGAATGAGTTTTTGAATGAATGAATGAGTGAAAGAAATGAGAAGAGGAAGGAGGAGGATGAATTAATGAGGGGGGAGGGTAGCACAAGCAAAGTCCTTTAGATAAGTATGGCTTTAGCTTGCATGGAGCCACTATGAGGTCATTGACCCAAGCAGCAATGTAAGCTTTGTTGGCCTTCCTCAGTCTGTTTCTCCATTTAGCATAAGTAAGCTAGCTCATTGTTTTCCTTATAAAGCAGCTAAGGACACCTTTGTACTCTACTCAGTTTTTCTGATGAAGTGATTTCTTTTGACAGCTGCATCTTTGCGGCTTGTAGAAGAGAATCACAATTTTTTTTCAGGTACACCTGCATCTCCTCTCAACAAGTAAAGAAATGAGTGACTCTCAGGAAACACATGCTTTTTGACAATAGGATTTTCAAGCTGATTTGAGGAAATTAATATCTGAGTGAGGAAATATCCATGCTACAGAGTGAACAATGTGAAATAGATGCTGTGTCATTCTGTGAGCCATGATGGGAATTGGATTTGCTAATACTGGATGCTGGATAAGTTCCATTACAAAGGTTTAGGAATAGAGCTGTTAGAGGATCATTCCAAAATCGATGGGCCACAATTATGAATTTGTACTCTATGTTATTTGCTTTGCCTACAGTTAAGAATGGAAAGTGGAATCTCTGAGAGTGCCACCATTCTTTGCCTGCAAGCATGGGTGACCATAGCATGTCTATAAAGATAAAAGGAAGTTCTGCTGTTCTGGAAGCAGCATTCTATAGTTGTAAAGAGAAGGCACATAATGATAGCCTATAATTATTCAGCTTTTCCACATGTGGGGCATTGTACTAAGATAGATAGATAGATAGATAGATAGATAGATAGATAGATAGATGATAGATAGATAATAGATAGAAATAAAATATAGATAAACACAGACACACAAGTATCTATACTGACAACAGTATGTACTATTATTATGGCTATTATAATATGGACTCAGGAAATTTTGGCTTAAAGACTTTTAGAAGATCATTCAGCTAGCTTTGAATACATACAAAAACTAGTCCCGGATGTCACTTACGTACTCTCTGATCTCTCATCTAATAGTAGAATCCCCTCTATCATGTTAGTCTCTGCCTAAAAACTCTCAAAGACAAAGTTTTCACAATTTGAGGGAAAACTCTAACCATTATAAAATTTGTTATTTTTCTACTGAGCCACATTTTTCTTCCTTGTGACCTCTATCCATTGGTCTTTGTATTGGCTCAATAAATTTTAGCAATATTGCCCCCTTTTTCTTATGTCCATCTCTATCTCTCAGTAGACTTTTTTCTGCTCTTGCCTCAGTGTCTTTCTCTTTTTCTCTATGGTGTTCTATTCCCTTTCGTCTCATCCTTTCTAACTTTCTTTCAGGTTCCTTTCATCCTCTATGTTTTTCCCTCAGCTTCCTGTTCCTATCTGTTTACATCTCTTTTTCTCTTGGTCATAATATGGGATTAAAGCCCACTTAAAAATTGATATGATACTAAAAATGTTTCTATATTTTTATTCTTAATTTTCTACAGTCAACTGAATCTGAAGTGTTTCCCTCATTTTAAAAAAGTGAATACACAAAACTTAGGGTTTTGTTTGTTTTTTTTAACTTGACTAGTTCTTTGGTCTTTCCTGTGGTTACAGACTTTTAAAAACTCTCCCATCGTATCCTTTCCATTATAAGTACATTTT